CTGCATGTGGACAGCGCAGACGTCCCTTTCTCGTTGCATGCGCAACAGGGGGGCCCGCCGCCGTCTCGCGGGATGAGGGTAGGTGGAGGGGGTTGGGCGTAGTCCGATACACGCTCGCTCATCCGAAAAGGAGGAGAAACAGCCGAGAAATCACCAACTCAATCATGGGGGCTTATATATAAACTCGGGAACGAATTTCGACGGAAATCGCCTTTTCCTACCTGCCCCGCCCTGTGCCTGCCTTTTCATTTTGATGTCGCGCACGTCCCAAGTGGCAGGTCTTTTTTGCAGACCATTCTCGCTCGTGATTACGAGGGGGGAGGGGAAAGATTGAGACAAACAGAAGCTCGTGTGTGAAAAAACCCTCAAAAGATTGAGAAACCCCATGCGTTTCTCCTCGATTTAGGATACACGGGAGGGCAACGAGTGACCGTTTGAGGTCTTTCAAAGATGGACTTCCCAAGTTTGTGCTTACTGACTCTACTACTTGTTACTATCGTTACTAAGGGTACAGATCCTGCGAGGAATTTTTGGGCTCAGAAGCACCCGTCACCACCCACGATCTCTCGCTTCGTCCCCGCCCGCCGCGCGCAGTCCGACAATACCACAAGAGGCCGCAATATCCGGTATGAGATCCAGACCGAGCATGATGACTACTTAGGCCACCAGGAGACGTGCCGGGCGAGGGGTGGCAAGCTTGCAGAACCATCGAGCGTCGTAGGAGCAGGGAAACGGCTAGTCGACAACCTACGAGATTTTGCTTACCGTTTTGTCGTAGGCTGATTTGGAGGCAATGTTCAATGCTACGCGAGTTGTCGGTGTCAGGAAGAAAATTTCTCATGACGACATGATACTTTTCATCGGTATCGTCATGAGACAGGTATGCACAGGCAAACCACCGCCGGAACTACACGACTGGTTGTCATGGCTCACAGAAATGCGATCCCGCCACTCAGCGCCTCAAACACAGATGCTGGACATTTGCGAGCAATCCAAAAGGAAGGGCTGCGCCATGGTTTTTCGGTACGTCAGCAAGCCTGCCATGGCTCCTTCCTTTAGATCGTTCCTTTAATGTGTGCCCCAGGAACGAGTTATTGGCCCCACCCCGTGAAGCAGCCTGACAACCACAATGGCGAGGGTCAGAAGTGCACCTACTATGTCAGCTCGATTTGGCCGGGAGGGAAACTCAATAAGAACTTAGAGCCCCTCTTGCCCCACGGCGTCGTGGGTGATGAAGCGTGCACACACAAATTCCCTGCATTGTGCGAACTCCCCGCTAAAGACACCACGGAAATAGCCCATACCACGGAAAGATCTACCGAAACCACACGAAGGACGGCATTTACAGAGACGAGACAGGGACTGGCAAGACAGCTTCCACAAGTAACAAATCCAGCTTCCACAGGTAGTTCGCCGGTCAATTATAGTCAGAACTACTTTCACAGAACTAGGAAGTCGTCGGATGCACAGCACAGCAAATAGAATGAGACGTCGCTATGGGTACATGAGGACACATAATGTATCACACAATCGACAATTGATGGAGGAGGGGAAGGCAGGACGATCCAAACCCATTCCCGCCTTCGTGGTAAATGACTGACGAAGACTGTAGGGCCGAATGTATTCGAGTCTTCTATGAAAGGCGGCGGTGGACAAGCCGTGACGGCAGGGCAACACGTGAATGGATTCATATGACTCTCGCCCGCTTTCATTGCGATTGTGCCCCGCTGTCAACGGAGCCTACTTCCCGCCGGATCCGAATTCAAAACAAAGCAGGAACTTGCACGAATGTCCTACGAACGAACGCCTGCGGCAGACGAATTCACCCACTGCCGACGGTCAACTACTGGCGCATTGGATGCTGTCTTCGGAGAGAAACACCCAGCACTGTCATCTGAGTCGGAGCTGTCGTCCCGTGCAATCATGCGCTCCTGTGCACCTCCTTCTTGCATACCCTGACCATCTATTTTCAACATATTTTCCGGGTCCCCGCATGCTTTGTTGCCAGCCGTGAACTTCCTGCCGTCCTCATCCGGCGCAGGTTGAACAGCAGGGTCTCTGGCTGTCTTGAGCCAGCACGAACCATCCTCTCCACTACCCAAGTGAGCCCATTATTCGCAGCCCTCTGTGCCAGCGCACCAGTCGGCGCAACTGAGATACTCAGGGAAGCCAGTGATTGCCGCCCTAAGGACCGTATCAGAATCTGTGGCATGGTCAGCGTTTTCCTCCAAAATACAACCTGCAGAGAATCAGACAAAAAGCATCTGCAGTGTTATGAGCGACCGATCACAAGGCAGCCCCCCATCTTGTGCAAGCATACGAACCTTTCGCGACCATGCTGGAAGGATCTCCGCATGCCTTGTTGCCAGCCGTCACCTGTAAGCCTTCGTCAGGGTTTGCTGCCCTGGGCATCACTGGCTCTCTGGAAGTCTTCAGAAAGCACATCCCGTCGTCTCCAAAACCCACGTGAACCCAGTACTCACAGCGATCCGTGACTGCGCACCAGTCGGCACAGTGCAGATGAGAAGGGAATCCACTACTTGCCGCCTCGATGTCTGCACTCGCTGCGTAATCTACGTTCTCCTCGAAGAGGCATCCTGAAGGAGCAAGAAACAAGGCTTTCGAGCAGACCCTCCTGTCTTCACTGACCTGGCTCCTGGGCGGAACACACCCATACGACTAAGAGGAGTTGCGGCACGACACACCTCATATTGAATGAGGAACGAGGTGTGGCATTACTATCCTGTCTATACTATGCTATACTTTTAAATTGCTCTGTATAGCTATATAGTATAGACATGCGGGGGAGACACATAGGTTGAAATAGTGCTAAAATCTGTCAACGGCTCTCTTTGTTCTGGTGTACATGCCATCCATCCACACACAAACAGAGATACAGAGAGAGAGATTCGTTGTGTGATTCGTGAGCATATTTGTTTCCCGTCTCAGGATGTACATTACTGTGCTTCCTTCTTTAGTCGCCTCGAGATATAGTGTGGTGGAGAAACTCCTGAAGAGTGTAAAATCGCTCGGGGACACGCATCAAGCATCAGAAAGCATTATCAGGGAGCACTCTTTGAAGCGCGCGGAGCATGTAGAAGACGGAACAGAGCTCTCGAGACCTAGAGCCGACATGCACCAAGAAGAGAAAGCCATGAACAGGGACATCAGGGGCATAGAGACACACGAAAACACCAGCGGCAGCGAACACACAACGCGACGCACGTGGAACGAACCAAGAAGGTGGTCATTCATTCATTCATTCGGCGTCCCCATGAACACACAAGGCATTCATTCGGACGAAGCGAGCAGCACTGCAGGACACCCTGCAATGACCAGGGCGGCGAGTCCGGCTCACCTAGGTTTCCCTTGGCTACCCCCTGGGTTTCACATGCCCCGTATTCTAGAAGCGCGGTGGAAAAGCGCCCGGCCCAACTTCTATCCCGACAGGCGGCCGGCTGAAAAACTGGTTGTGCTCTTGTGTGGGTGTGTGTCAGTTTCATGTTCGTGGGATGTGTGCGCGGTCTTCAGGTTCCTGTCTACCCCCTTCCCCCCTCCCCCCCCCTTCGGCAGCAAGGGCGTCGGAGACGGCGGGTCCAGTCGTGTCCATGGTAGCGTACGCGTGCGTAGCGCAGCGATCGCGTACATACGCGCCGTGGGCGGGAGCGACCCGATCGACACACACCGTCTCCGAACACAAGCAGCCGGAAGCTGTTTGGCAATGCAAGGGAGCGGGCCGAACAAACAGGGTTCACGCAGTCAGACACCGGGTCTCGCGTTCTGTCTTGTCACAGGGCGCCAACCTCCACTTCCCGTTGACGACGGGGACGGGACACAGTCGCGCAACCCAGACCAGTCAAGGACATAGTGCCACAACCACACAGGGGATCGCGGCTACTGACGGGGAAAACAAACAGAAGGACACAGTGAGGGAAGGAAGACACACCAACGGGGCGGCTGCCTTGACATACGCCGTGCAGACGTACAGAACAATAGGGCAGGCAGCGACCGCTGCACACGGAACACCACCCGCCGCCTAGGACGCTCCTACAGTGACGCTCCCAGGTGTGGAACTTTTCGGGAGGGGCACTTCACTCCGTTACAAAAGGCCATCGCGACCAGGAACATTGCGAAACAAAGAAGGGAAACAAAGAAGGGGCAGAGTGGCGGAATGCCCGACACGAAAGAGGCAGAGATGGCGCAGAGGTGGCGGCAATTGGGTGGCGGAATGCTCGACCCGAAACGGGCAGAGGTGGCTGAATGCTGGACACGACAGGGGCAAATAGGGCGGAATGCCCGACCAAGAGGCGGCACAAGCGACAGAATGCTGCGCAAAAAAGGGGCAGGCAAAGATAGATACTCGACATGGGCACACTGCTTGACATGGGCAGGCACAAGGCAGAATGCCCGACATGGGCAGGCAAGGGCAGAACGCCCGACATGGGCAGTGAAAGGCTCGACAAAGGAGCGGCAGGGATGGCAGAACGCGCGACAAAGAAGCGGCAGACAGGGCAGAATGCCCAACAAAGAAGCGGCAGAGATGTCAGAATGCCGACAGCGAAAGGGGTCCGAGTCTCGTCTCGGGAAAAGGGACACATCGCGTTTGGGACTAGTTTGGGACTCACTCATTCTTCAATGAAACACAGTTACCCTTGAGAATGAACTCACTGCTTCGGGCTCCTTCAGCGATAAGGCAGGTCCCCCCCTCGGCATATCACTCATGCGAGCACGAATTTGCTTCGAGAACAACACAGTCGCCTCGGGGAAACCTCGAAAATCACACATAAGGATCAAGAGGTGCCTCTTCAGAAGGGAGGGACACGACGATTGTCAGACTCACTCACCAATGACGTGTCTCCCTCGGGATACTCACCCACTGAGACCAAGAAGTCACTTACTCAGGGAGGGCCTGACTCTGAGGAACTCTCGCTGACGGGGCTGACTTGCAAATTGCTGCAGGGTGATCAGAAAGGGGTACAGTAAGTATCGCTTAAAGCAATCACCGTATAAACCAATCATGTCTGTAAAGCAATCACCCCGCCCCGATCACTCTGTACATAGTCAAAATGAACCGCATAAACCAATCCCCTCCCAAAGAGACTCAAATCAGCCATTCGGGCCGACCACTCGTGGCTCAAAATGACCGCCAGAGAATGAAGCACCCCTCTGTGAAAGAGCGGACCGATGAAAGCGTGAATCAACGGAGAAATACAGACATTTTAATGGTCATCCACCGAGATGAACCATTCTCGATGGTGATTTCCGACGAGAGACGGGTTTTGCTTCGAGAGCTTGAATCACAATGTAAACGGAAGAGCATTCTGTCGCTCGCGCTGCAATGACGGCGCCACGGTGACAATCAACCGAGTCAATTGAGTCATTCGATGCATCCGATGACATTTACCCAGCCGCACACACGTTTGAGCGACAAGGAGTGACCAGCAAGCTTCCTTCCCAAGCGAGACCCACCCCT